CTCAAGCCCTCCCACGCAGGGCATGGGACAGGCAGGCGGTCACCACGACGGATCTCAGGCACGCCACCATGCCCTTGACGACAATCCTCGGGCTGGGCTTGACGTGCAAACAGGCCGTACCCTGAATTTCCTGAATCGTCGGCTCAGGCTGCCATATATCTCCGGCACTCTAATGCGTTTAGGAAGTGTTTCGGACCATTTCGACATAAGCCTGGCAAAGGCTCATAAGCTCCGGCACCAACTGCAGCAGTCGCGCTGTCCTCGAGGAATGATTTGGCACAAGGAAACAGCATGGTGATTTGGTAAGTCGCTGGGTCGAGGACGACCCTGTTTCGAACTCTATCTTTTGGAGTTTGAGTTTGTCCTTGCCGATGAAATATGTTGTGGGCCGCCTCCTTTATCGCCGCGCATGGCTTGCAGGACACCCCGACCCTGAAACCACAGGGCCTGCAAAAGCTTACCTTCCTCGAAGCTGAGACCCCCACACACCCCACCCTCAAAGCACTCGCGCTCGCTCGACAGCACAAGGAAAAAGCCGGCTTGACAGTTCGCAAGGCGTGGGCCCTTCTGTGGGTGAGAAATCGGGGCCGGAGCGTGATTTTTTCAGACGAAGGTCTAGATGGGCCTGAAACATGCTTGCACAAGGGCGGAATGAAGGCCCGATGATGCTCATGATGCTCCCAGCCCTCATGTCCCACACGCATCCCTCCAGAGCACTCCAAACGCTGCGCCCGCCGGATGTTCGTGGTCGTAGTGGTGGTCGTGGCGGCAAGCCCGCGCATACACAAATGCAAAAACGTATACGAGCAACACATGCACATGTACATTTGTATGCACATGCATGCTTACATATACAATGTGTACATATGTGTGTATGTACGTACATATATACCTACATGCAACAATATATGCATGCACATATGCGTGCATGCATTCATACATATGTACATAGGTGAAGATATACAGACACGAACAGTCACAAATGCAACAACTCTGTACAGAGCTAAAGATATGGATGTAAATGTAGGTCTGGCAAGTGGTATTGATACTGATAGGGTGCCCATGTACTCATATACGATCACATGCCACCCCAGAAAGAAACATACTATGGCGACTGTATGCAACTGTAGGCAAACAACGGCAGATGAAGCTGGACGCTCGTGCAGCCAGATACCACGACTTATGGTGTCTTAAACAAATTTCTACACTTACAACCAGCTCGGATGCGCCCTCGCGTATTCCCACATGCGAATTGAACATCTCATGTAGACAATAGCAGTCGCAGACGGTCACAGAAGCAAAATCGCGCCCAGGCATGATCAAAACCACGAGAAACTCTGTGCAGGCAGAAGGAAATGTACCATCCTAGAGACAACATGAAACAACGCCACTTCATTTACGAACACCGTCCGGTTGGGCCTGGCAAGCCGGGATAGCCTCAGGAGGCGGATCAAGCCTCAGCTGCGGCCACTTGGAACCGCGGACACGCGGATGCGGGGTTATGACAAGAAACCAAAGCCTGGTTTCGAAGACCAGCACTGATAACTGGCAGTGAGTACGACAGACAGCCACCCCTAGCACTTACGCATAACACAGTACACAGATCCAAGATCGTCGTTTTCAAGATATGGAGGCCGTGCAACGCAGGGAGGACGTCCCTCCCAAGGCGGTGTCCTCAGATCGTTGAAAAAGCTTCAGCTGGTGCTGGGAACTGGCTGAGCCGTATCGGTTGATGCAAGTTCAAGAACAGCATGCAGTATGTTGAATGTTCGAAACCGAGCGAAGTTGGGACGCCATGAAGCGCAAGAGCAGTCGCAGAAGACAACCCATGCACAAACGTACGTACATGCATACATATATATGTCTGTGTATATACATGTATGTATGTATGTATGTATGTGTGTACACTATCGATGCCAGCATTCTATGTATGTTTTGTAGTACACATATCTATCTATCCATCTACCTACCTGTATATCTATCGATCTGTCTATCTATATATGATATTATGTATTGCTGTTGCTATTCTTGTTACTCTTATGCTCAGCACGGTTAAAACTTTTAGAAGAATTAGAACACGTCTCGTGAATGTTAATGCTATTAGAATGGTTACTCTTTCTTAGTGTTACTATGATATAAAACTGTATATTCGATTCTATTCAATTCTGTTCTGTTTTATAATACGTGAAATCACACATATACAAGTCTATAGACACATATGTATACTTGTATGTATGATTATATTCATAGCTGTTTAGCGTGTGTGTGGTTCGTTTGTTTGTTCTGTTTTGTTTAAGACTCATCTTGTTTTTGGCCCTTGTGCTAATTACCATGTTGCCTAGATGTGTATCTGGCATATACATCTATTCTGAAACTCCTGCCATCATCTTAAGGCGAGCAGCCGCATTGCTGTGGCTCAAGGCCTGGGGCAGGCAAGGTGCGACTCAACGATCCACCGACTGCCCAAGCCGCGGATCAACAGCAGAAGAAGCCACAGTTATCGAACTTTTGCTCGTGCTGGCAATGGTGAGAGTCCAAAACGAGCAACATGGTAGTACTAGTATCAAGGATGCATCTGAGAACGGCACCAAGACGATGGTCAGCACCCATGTCTCGGCCACATTCAGGGACACCAGCACAGTATCCTTGGTGGAAGCGGTGTGGAAGCACGCACCCTGCAACTCTCCTGAAGTTCTACAAGTTCTTGAGCTTTGCCAACTATAGGAACACCACAACTAAACTTCAGCCAGAAGTCGAAGACGAACCAGCGATCTCGCAACGCCATTCGCTTCGACTGAAATGCCAGAAAACCTCGGGATCCCAGGACCCTGCGCTGATTCCACGTTGCCGGGCATTTCAGAGATTCACTGCGGAGCAGTCACTTGCGTGTGCCCAGTACAACCCAGCTGTGGTGCACAGGTGAGGGAGCGAGGGAGGCAGGGGACGGAAGGAGGGAGAAGGGAGAGGGAGGGCCTTGACTCGCCAAGCAGCGTATAAACCACTCGACGAAGAAATAAGTACAGAAGACATGCTCCGGGATCTGGTATTCCAGTGGAGCGTCCACCAGCACAGAAGCAGGGTTGCCATCAGCATCGACGGCAATCCACACTGCATAGAGCACGATCATGAATAGAGTCGCGTGATGGAATAGAGGGCTTCGAGCCACTCTCTGAGAACATCCGTCCTGCGTCTGCTGACTGAACACTCAGCACAGAGTACTAGTACCGTAATCAACCATCCTACGTGTTCTCGTCAGGTCCACAGCGGGCCAAACAACCGTCTGCGGAAACCCACTGCGTCCTGCCAGTAGAAATCTTCCAAAGTTGCTCCGCCCTTCTCCACCAGGCGTGTGATGAGCTTCTTTTTGAGCTGCTCAGATTCCTAGGCCCAAGGGGAAGGCTCTTGACTCAGACCTTCTTGTGTTCCTGTGAGACCGTGTCCCTGCTGTCAGGCGTCAGCAGCCATGACGGAGTTTCCAGAGCTCAGGTTCCCAGATCCCACTGCCAGCCCGAAGCGCTTCCACCGCGGAGACCTCGGATGCAAGGAACTCCGAGGGGGTCGCGCGAGCACTCCAAGTGTTTAGGATGCGTCTAGTGTTCCAGCGACAGCAGCAGTCGCAGCGCTGCAAAGTTTCGCCACCAGCAGCTTGCTTCCAAGCTGCTTCGGGGACTTGGGAGACATTGCCGAGCTCGGCGGGGTCATCACGGGCGGCGAGACCACGGCAGAAGCCTGCTGCAGCTGGGTCAATCAAGGCGGAAGGCAGGATTGCACAAAGAGGAACAGGAAGACAATTCGCTCCATCCTTCCAGGTCAAGCAGGACTGGTAGCCTTCGTGGTGGTGGTGGTGGATTGCACAGCAGCTGCAGCGGAGGCACGAGTGCGAATAGTAGGAGCAGGAGAAGCGGTGCTGTAGGTGTTTGTAAGTTGTGCGCATAGTGGCTTCCTTGATTGTATTATCCAACTGCTCTTGCTCGGGCGAGCGACAGATCATGATGGTGAGGATGATGACGATGACGATCACAAGAGGTAGGATATCCATACCGTCAGTGAACCAACTCAGACTTTGAGGACAAGGTGGGGAGGAGATGAGGGCGAAGGTTGAAAAGATCATGCGGACATTGGAAAATATTTCATACCTAACTGAGTGATAGTGAGTGGTAGCATCGGTGCAGGTGCGGAGGTGTTGCTGACTTGAGAAGCCCACAAACAAGGCAATGAAATGCAAAGCCACATGCAGAGACAAAGTGGAAAGCAGTTGTATTAAATTTCATTCATATCCTGCTAAGTACCCGTTAGACACCTCTTCATGCACCATCAATGATGGATCTAAGGCCGCTTCTTCCGAACAACCCGAGATTTGGGAGATACGGCCTCGCCTGCGGTGGGGAGCTCGGAGCCTGCAGCCAGTGCCGGCTCGAGAGAAGTTGAACCACGTCTCTGCGTCTCTACGTTGCTTCGAAGCCACGTGACAGGTGAGTCGGAAACGATCGATGCAGTGCTTAGAGGCATAACAATCTTCGTCCTTCATCGGCATCGGCAGCAGCAGCGTGTCAGGAGGTTGCAATGAAAGCACATCGTCCTCCCAGGCCCGGCAAAACGAAACTGATGGCAAGTCCCAAGAGATCCCAAAGGCTGTGACCTCAAGAGCCCCCTCAAAACTCCTGGTCCGGTTTCTTCTCAGCCATGGCCAGGCTATGCGCGTGCATGGGCCAAGGGTGGGAAAGGACGAGTTCGACTCGCGTGTTTCGAAATTCTTGCTGCAGGGTTTGGGAGTCTTTTATCTTGGGATGGGACTTTCGTTCTAGGACTCATGCTCTGGGACCGCCTCCGCTTAAGCTCGTCCAAACAGCGGCGCGTCCGTGCAGGGCGCTTGCATCACTTGCGCACAGACACAGACACCCAGATATATATAGACACACACACACACACACCCGCGCGCGCGTGAAGCAACAGCCCCTGTGTGGCTCTTCAAGAAAACTCGTAGGTTCTAGGTGGCTCGCGGTCCACGATGTGCAGCTCCGAGCGGACCTCCCGGCTTCCTTGGAGGGCGAAGTGCTCTGTCGGCTGCAGACAGGCTTCCAGTGTGTGGTGTGTTGAAAGAAGTTGTGATTTGCAGCTCTAGCATTGGTGCTGTTATTGACGGCTTGTGGAGAGTTGGCAAATGGACCTTGTGAAACTCGAGGGAGCTTGAGTGGCTGTGTGTTGTCGTTGATGGTGGTGGCTTGTTGCTGTCTGTTGGTACAGAGGTTGACACTTGCTCTGCAAACGTTCGGAGGTGCAATCTTTTTTTGCAGGCTGCGCTAGCGGCTAGAGCCCTGCTTCCGCCCGCTTGGAGCCATGGCTCGAGCCGTGAAGGTTCAGCATCAGCCGGGAGAACGCCTCAGTGCGGCGTGCGGCGTGGCAGCAGGTGGAGGCCTTAGGCCTAGCCTAGACACTGACCATGCACTAGCCGAAGGCTCTTGAACCGAAATATACAATATATTATTTTTTGTGCTATGTACTGCTTTATGTGATCATGAAACTGCTTGCCCCTGGCTCGGCCTCGACTAGGTCGATGTCATCACCCTCCAGCAGGGCGCGCACAAGCACACCTTTCCGAACAACCTGCCACAGGGATCTTGAAGCAAATTGTAGCACCTTTGTCCTAGACCCGGATCTCTGGATCAAACGACCTAGGGCAGCTAAGATCCTCTCCGTTGGACAGAACATACCTTAAAGTTTACAGCCTCCTGGAAGAATGAATGGGATTTGCGGTGGTTTCTCGTCGCGCAAGACTTGAGATCGGGATAAACTGTATCCGGGGTGGGTCTTTGGCGAGGGGAGCAAGAGCCTTTTTGTTCAAATTCCTTCAAACGTGGCTTGGTGTCGACGCCTCCTGGAACAGCAGGAACAAACCTGCGAGACGTCAGCGACATGCATGTAAAATTTCAAAGGCTTGACTCCGTGTTAGAGCTCAGCCGGAAGCGATTCTGGCCCGGATCCCGTTTCGGGAGTGGCTCTGGTACATTAAGTCCCACAACAATAACCGCAGCATTGTCGGCCTTGGTGGCCTTGCCTGCTGCTTCCAGCACGGCTTTTGCTGCTCCTTCTGCGGATTTTGTCTCTCGCAAAACCTTGCGAGCCGTGGTGACGGCTAACTGCTCGCGCAGGCCGTCCCAGACTCCATCTGTGGCAAGGATTACGAATTCCGTTGTTGGCTTCACCTTGATGATTGTAACCTCGGGCGTGCAGCTCAGCCCTTGGATTTTCTTGCCGGTCTTGTCAACGACGTCTCCAAAGGCGCGTGAAACCTGCACCCTTCCATCCACATACCCACCTTCCACATTGACGCCGAGCTCCTTCAACCGCTGATATTCCAAAGCATTTTTCTCCGGATTGTGGTCCGTTGTTGTAGTGCTCACCTTCCCGTTTTCACATAAGACTGCTCGACAATCTCCCAGGTTCAGCAGCACAAGCTGATCCTCTTTCAGCAGCGCAATGCATGCCACCGTACCGGACGATGTGCCCGATGTGAGCCTTAGTTGATGAGTTCATAAGCCCGAAGACAGTGAATACAATCGGTCCTACAGGAGATTAGAGTATCCCAAAAGCGCAAAGTTTTCTCATTCAGCTACTAAGAAGCAGCTTGGCTTCCTCCGCCAGCTTGGTCTGCATAAGCTCGTCCACGGCAGCGAAGGCTTGCTGGGCAGCCTCCTCCTTGCTGCAGTCTTGTTGCAGGTGATGCTCAAGCTGCTCTGGAAGAAGTTGCTTGGCCAGCAGGGTGGCCTGCTCGCCTCCGTGCCCGTCGAAGACGGCAAAGCACGCATTTCCTGCGACGTTGTCATGGATTAGGACGGCATCCTCCATCCGGTGCCTGTCGTTCTTGGCGAGGGAATACCCATGCTGCGTGTTGCTGCCACCCGAAGCGTAGTCCGGAAGCCACGACGGATCCTTCTCTCTTGCCCCGCAACATTGGCAAATGTTGCCCATGGCTCACACGCACAAGCCTTCACAACTAAGCCTTTTATGCAATTGAAGCCAGGATTGAAGCCAGGATCCCGGCACATGCCCAAAGGCTGCGCCACTCAAGTGCGGTATCCTCCTTGTCTATGAAATTGTTGTGTACTTCGATGTATTTCACAGCTTCGTGGTCAACACTGCTCTGGTTCGGGCCACAACCAGGGCACAGCATCTTCAAAGAATATACTGGGCATCAAGTCAAGCTGAAAGAAGAGCATTTGGCAGCCTTATATCATGCTGTCTTCAATGTACTTCCTGACATCTTCTTCAGTTCAACCTATCGCAACTGGAGTCCGCCTCTTCCCGAATCTGCAGCCGGAGACAAATCTCGCCTTGCACAAAGGCAAGCTCAGTGGGATGAGGCTGGGAGTGCCGTTCGGGATGTCTTCTAAGGTCGGGATTTGGAAAAAAAAACTCATGCTGCGTAATTGCTGGAGCTATGGCTCACACAGGTGTGTCTTTCACCAGGCTTAGGGAACCGCAGGGTGGCATGCCCATACTGCTGGTGGTCTGCTTGTGGAGTCATCTGACGCTAGTTGCCCGCATCCTTTACAACTGTGAGAAAAGCACGCCCCGAAGTACGAGGATATCCTCATTCAAGGAACAAGCTGTTCGGTGCGAGGATGGACCAGGCCAGTTCACAACAGAAAGTCGCCATTCGTTTAGGCCCTTAGCTTAGCGGCCTTAGCGGTACTCCTGCCCGGGGCAACCTGCACCAATAGCACTGCACTGCAGGCCACGGCTCAGGTGAGAATGCCTCTCACTCTCTGTTCTTCGTCAAGGCTTGGGGGATGTGCGAGATCCCCTGGTCCCATGGGCCCCCCATTGCGTGTTGGCAGCTTCGTGGGAATGTGAAAACTTCAAGCACACTCTCTCTCTCCCTCTGCACGGCTTGAGGGAACGTGAGGTCCTGCACGAACCCCCGCACGCCAACGCGCACCCGCATATCTCGCTCTCTCCTTCTCTTGGGTATGGGAAGCGTTCGACGCCCACCCGGCCGATGGCACCCGTGTCGTCGGGCCATGTGCGACAGCGCGAGACAGTAGAAGTGCCCCAGGTTTCAGGCACTCTAACAGTCAGTAGATTGGACTGTTTTCCACCCATATACTCGTGTCTTTAGGACATGGCTTCACAATGGGTAACAAGCTATATATGCGCCGGAACAAGTCACCATTACGTCCGGAGTGCGCAGAGCATCAAATCAACTGCATGCACTCTCCAGTCAATACATCCGCCAGATCATGTGCTACAACGGAACAGGAAAGTACCAATGAGAAAACAGCGTTCCAAACCATTTTCTCCCGCCACTATGCTCGCGTGAGGCGGAAAGGCGTCGGCAGAAGATGGCAGTGCTTGTCATGCGAAGCTTCAGACCGCCAACAGAGGATAAGTGCCAAGGACTATCTAAGGGTCACAGGCAACATTTCCCCGACCTTAAGGCCGTAGTCATGCAAAAGTTGGTTGCTAAGGTGTCTGACATGTCGGTCTACCGGCATATTTCGAACTTTCTTTTCGCCAGGTTTTAAGACACGCGTGCTGCCCCTGCCCTCGTGTTAGTGCGTACCCAATTATTTGACTACTGTGCGGCGAGTAGTGAAGCGCTCTTCGCAGAACGATGAACCTGGAGAGTGGCGAGGCCGCATAAGTCGGCTCACGCCCCTTCTAGGACAGCTGAGGGGTCAAACAACAATAAAATGGTGATCAAAAGAACATCAACGAAATGTCTGGGAGCAACGTAACAAATCAAAATCGGGATTTAAAAAAAAAACATATCTTCTCTCCTCGATGGTACCAGGCCGTGCGACTACCAGACGCACACGAACCACTCACTTCCACTACCGAATTCTCTGGCAAAAAACAACAGCTTGAAACCCTCTCGGAGCCAGGCCTTCGGCGGCTTCTTGAGCTTCCGGGGAGGCAGCCAAGTCAGCAAGACAGCGCACAGCTAACCACTGCAGGTGTGGGCTGTCCTCGGACCGCAAAGTTTGCTGATCAGCAGCGTCTTGGTTTTTTTTCAGCTCCGGAGACTCGGGCTTGGCGGCCTGGAAGGGTGCTTTGAACTCGAGTGCCGCCCTTAGACAGATTAGGGGCGCTGTTGACTACTTGCCGCCCGCAGCTTTCCCCACCCCCGCTCGCGTTTATCGCAGTTAGCAACGGTCAAGATTAAATGTTCTGCACAAGCCGTCTTCCCGATTCGAGACGCTGCCTCAGTCCTGGTCGGCACTCCTACAGCATCGTTAAGTAGGAAAGCCAGCCCACAGGTCCCCGTCGCATTCGCTTGACCCTAAAAGGAACCCATAGAAACGAGCCATGACCAAGATCATAGCCACTCAATCGTATTCATAGCGCGTTGTCACGCAGTCACAGTCGCAGCCATGGTCAGAGTCAGAGTCAGATTCACAGCGTGGCCATGTCTACAGCTGCAGCCGTGGGTATAGCTTAGCCAAAGTCAGAAGCACAGTGCTCGTCATAGTGAAGGCCATAGTGATGACTATAAGACACAAGCACATAGACACATAGTCACGAAGTCACGCAGTCACTCAGCTACAACGAAACATCCTCACAATTGTCATATAGTCATGAAACCATATAGTCATACTGTAGTCATTTAGTCACATAGTCATAAAGCCACATGCTATATAGTCAAAGAGTCATGAAGGCGTGTAGTCACATTGAAGTCCCGTCGTCAATATTCATAAACTCATACGGTCATATAATCCTAGAGTTACATGCTCATTTAGCCATCGCCACGACCACAATCATTGTCGTAGTCCTTAATATTTTCAACATAACAGTTAGAACACCGACCCATCCGTTGCTTCCCGGGGACATCTTCCAGCAGTGCCAGCAAGGTCCGCCAGGCCTCAGAGCTCTTCAAGACGCCCGGCACCTCGGCTGCTCGGCTTCGGCTTTGCGAGTTTCGGACACTTCTAGCGGCCTTTGGCCGCTAGGTTTCAGCAGTGGGCAGAACTGGGGATTGCTGTGCATTTTACACGGCACTACGATAGCCCCACTACCGAGGTCTCTCATTCGGTTTCATCTTCCCCAGAAAGGCTTCTGCTATGCTCCGACTCTGTTGGGCTGAAGGCCTCGTCAAGTTCGCTAAGTTGGGTTGCCGGAGCTCTAAAGTCAAAACGCGAAAAGAAGGCATGAAACGGGAAGTCTTCAAAAGAACGCCACATCGGCATCTGTAACCGCGCTAATTGCAGTGCAGCCGTGCACCTTCGAAGGGTACACTGCATTGCTCTCCTGCAGCTTGGTGGCTGGGCCAACTCCCGACATTTCTGTTCCCAATCTTGGCTCCAAGATGAAACTCCGAATAGTGAGTTACAGATGCAATGTCGAATGCCTATGATTCTTGTTATCACTAGTAACTAGTAGTATGGTAGCGATGGTGATTAGTGCTTGGTGATGCTGTTGCTGTTGTGATGATTGATATGCTTGCTGCTATGAATTTGCGCAGGCCCCCAGTTTTGCAGGTGCACAGCTATTTTACATTCTTGCTACGGTGCGAAAGCCTTGTCGGAATGCAGCATTGTTGGACAGTCTGTGCCTTGATTGACTTCCTTGGACGCTCTCCTCCCGACACACCAGCCCATGCACGTCATCACGGTTCGGGCATGGATCCGCACTAGGCCAAGGACATTATCACGGATGCTCTCTTCCGGACGTTCTCTGCCACCGGGCATGCCCGGTGGCAGATCTAGGGGGCCGAGGGAACCATTACTATGAATGCTGGTGCGGCCACGACAACTATGTTTCATCATTACTATGGTGACTGCGCTATTCGGTTTGTTTCTGACTGTTCTTGCTATTGTTACTGGCGTTGTCATCAATCGCGTTCTTGTCCTTCTTGTAATTCTAATTCTGAGTATTCTTAATACTCTTATTGTTCATACGATTCTTATTCTTCATGTTGTCACTAGAAGTCAATATCGTTAGTACTATTCCTATTCTTCATAGTGTCACTGTATCAATAACCCTACTGTTAGTGTTGATTTGGGTCTGTTGGCTCTGTCAAGACTAGCTTTGTTACTGATTCCGTTATCATCAATGCCACTGGAAGAACAAGTCTGTACTCATATCGTTCCTGCCATTCCAACTACCCTTATGGTTCCTGTGTTTCATTCTCTTATTCTGCCCAGTATGCATATGACGGCAATAATGCCAATGTTCTTGTTCTTACTAATCCTACAAACTGATTTTGGTGGTATTACTGCTAGTCTTCTTGTTGTTGCCATTGCTGCTATAATCAAGGATTATCATAATTGCAGACACTGCGGTTGTTGTTGTTGTTGTTGTCGTCGGCGTTCTTGCTGTTGCTGTTGTATTGCCGGTTGCATTGCCGTTGCCGTTGCTGCTGCCATTGCTGGTGCTGTTGTTGGTGGTGGTGGTGGTGGTGGTGCGGCATTGTTGGTGGTGTCATGCGGTGTTCTTACGCGGATCTTGCCACTCTCGTTGCGATGACTTTATTCTTGCAGTGATAACTATGTAACTATTTGGTCCAGCGGTCCCAGACGGCTCCCAGCTCTGCCAGCATCTCCAGGGCCTCCAAGGGCAGCACTGAGTGGGCGAGGTAGGCGAGGTTACAGTGCAAGGGTTTAGGGAGTAATCGGCTGACCGATTGCAGCTTGCAGCGTTTAGGAGGACTGATGCATTTTGCTTCTCCCACGGCTTAACTAGTGATAATGATTGTGAATGAATAATTACTCTTACTCCTCGTCTTATGCTTATCTTGTTTCTTATTTAGTATATTTCTCTTGATACTGCCCTTTCTCTTGCTCTTGCTCTGACTCCTACTGGCTCTTCCTCCTAGTCTTGGTCTTACTCCTGCTCCCCCATTTTCCTTTTTCGCTACCCCTCTCTCTTTCTCTTACCAGCGCTCTTGTGCTTAATTTTATTCTTACTCGTAGTCTTGCTCGTCCTCTTTTCTCTCTCTTACCCAAATCCTTACTCCTACTCCCCCTCTTCCGCTTCCTCTGTCCCTTTGCTTTGCTTTGCTCTTGGCTTGCGGTGCCGGCAGTCCCGATCCCCCGCGCCTCCCAGCTGCCCCATCCATCATTTTGTGTGAATGTATTACCTTACTGTTACGACTACCTTTGCGAATTCCAGGCCACTTTCATGACCATGACCATTACCATCACCATTGCCATGGCCGCTACCTTGCCATTACTGTCACTACTACTGCTACCCCTGCTGCTACTATGACAAGTAGTATTACTACGCTGATGACTCCGACTACGCTTGTTGAGATCACTGTTGTAATCTGGTATTGTTGTGATGCAAAGCCTCGTCCTGCTACACACCACGGCCTCGAAGAGCCGACGTCGCGAGGCCGAGCCGGTGACGCCGGTGGGGCAACCGCTACCTGCAGGGCAGGGCTTCCAAGGCCCGAAAAGGCCAGCAGAACACCTTTCGACAACGAACCCTGTAATCTGCCCTCCGGGGTGCTGTCTGCAGAAGTACCCTCGGTGCATGTCTACTGCTTCTGCGAGCTGCTTCATCACCCCGTTGTCCAAAACCCAAGTCGGGTTGAAGAGATCTGCAGAGCTCTCGGATGCCTTTGAGGGTCTGTAGGGTCCCCAGCATGGCCCGGAATCGGCGGAGGCGCCCACGGTACCTGGGTGGCAATGATGGACGCATGTCAACACGCTGGTGATTTCAAGCCCTCACGAGTTTCCGCTTTGGCACGGAAAGTGGCCGAGGCGTCTCGACGGCTTAGTCGCACGTCAAGCACCCAAACAGTGGATCCCCCATCAAGGCCAAAGTCGCTCAGCCAGTGCGGTTGCCGCCGGCTTCCGGCCCTGTCGCTTCAAGGTCTTGGCTTTTTCACTTTCAACCTGTTCACTAGCTCTAGCTCCGGCTGAGAGTCATAGAATAAGTCACTGCTCGAAACAGTGCGCGGCGACGAGGGTCTGAGCAGGCAGCTCTTATTTCTTCACATGCTCTTCACATGTCCCTGGACGGCCTGCGAGACATCGCTGGCTTAGGGATGCTCAAAGCCTGCGGCTTCCATGCTGCCCTCTGCCGCCACTTCCGGTGACAGGGTCTTTCGCTGCGCTTTGGAGCGATTGGTCAAGGCCAATGGCTCTTGCCAGGTATCCCAAATTCTTTTACTGAACTTGCGATTCCCCCCACCGACTGCGGACTAGAATCACAAGTCAGTAGTAGCATCCTTCACCTCCACAACGGCGACCTCCGGCCTGCAATCCATCCATTAATTTTCATGGACGTTCGCAGACGAGAGCAAGAGCGGCGCTAAAATATGTCAGTGCCCTCTTGGTCACATCTGCCAACGCCCTTGATGCCTGCATCTGGCCATCCAGACATGCGACGATGCCGGAGGACGTTCCTGTCGACAAGACCCTTGTCCGACTGGCAAGAGTTGCCCATTGCTGCAGCTTCGGTTACCCAGGGCTGGAAATGAACATCCACAGCACAACACGAAAGGAATTCGGTATCCGGCTGCTCGAAAAGCTCTGTGTCCTCTTCGCGTATGACACCAAAACACTGCGATGCTTCCGCCTTTCTCAGCATGAGCCAAACTTTGTCCAGGGTCATGCTAGAGCTGGCGGCTCGTTGCATACAGCACTTCTTTGTCTGCGATCCGACCGCGAACCCGTAGCTCAAACACCTCTCTAAACTGTATTTTACAGGTCGTACACAAGCAGCAGCAACAACAACACACAGAACCACGCTGCAAGCCTGTGAAATGCCCGGACCCTTTCATAACTCATAATTTTTCATGGAATGGACACAAACACAACTCCCCCAAAGCCCACAACACTTAAGATCTCTGAGAAATCCTGGTCCAAAGAAAACACGCACCCTACATCGTCTGTGAACGACGGAGTGAACGAAGGCTCTATCTGCACATCCTGGCCTGTGATCGCTGCATGCTCGTGGCTGTGGTGCCGAAATCCGCTCGAAGGAGTCGGAGCCAGCGCTCCTCGCGAATGCGGTTTGATCCCGAGGGTAAATGCGGATGCAGGGAGCCGGAGTCCGATGTTGTCGAGGCTCACATATCCACCATGCTCATGTGCGTCGACGATTATCAATGGATGGTCAGGACTGAGGACGACGAATCTCTGATTAGCCACAAAAGCACGGACGCCTATCTGCACTTGCTGTTCGTGAGTTTGGGGTCGGGCAAAGAGACAAACCTGCACTAGCATGGGCAGCAATCCAAGAGCAGCAACTGCATCACGCACAAAAATCATCGCTGCTGTGTCTGGCAATTTGGCTCCTCAACGTTGGAGCCCCACTCTTTGCAACAGCTGCTCGCACGGCGTAGGCTGTCACAATCAAGACACCTGGCAGGCTGGTCGTGCGACTGGAGCCATTTAGCCGAGCAGCACAGAATTATGGGAGCAAAAGCAACCGTTTCAGCCCTAGGGTTGAAATCCTAAGCCCGCTCTTCTGATTTTTTTCTGGAGAGCAATGTGCCCGTCGCACCAGAGGATCGCGTTCAGAACGTCCAGCGGCAGAGATGGGAGGGACCAGTCCTTCCCGAAGCTACCTGGCAACCTCGAAGCCTCCAAGCCGGCTCAGGCTAGTCCGTGGCCAAAGCATGAATCGAGGGCGGTCCAGAGCCAAGTCAGCCTCAACCGCTGCATCTCCTAGCATCTGACGACCAGGGCCAGGCTGCAAGAGTCTGCACTGCTCGAAGCCTTCTTTGCGGGCGGCTCCGGCTTTGGTCGTCACCCGCATCTCCTGCCACGTTGTACCAGGATCCCCCACAACAAACTTTTTCTCGGACGACGCAATCTGGAGGCTTTCTGTGGATGAAATCTAACTACCATATGTATATATGTGTAGATGCATATGTATATATGTATAGGTGTATATATACATGTATTGATATTGATACTGATATATTGATATACGAACCCGTGCTAACCCTGCAGCACGCATTGATGCAATTGATGCACCCCTGATGCGGGACCTGCTCTCCAGCCTTCACGATGAGCGCCCGCAGTCGCGCCTGTCAGCAGGTCGGGCAGATACTCGACCGGCACTCGGCAACATCTGGATTCCACCCGGTCAGTGAAAATGATGCGGATCGGGTCTCTTCGAATCACAGACTCTTCGGCCTCTGAACAAAGAACTGCTCCGCCAGATTTGCCCAACAGGTTCTGCGGCTTCATCGCCACAACCGCATCTACAATGAAGCTACGTCCCAAAAAGGACAAACCCACATTGCACCCTGCTCCGAACTCAAGCCTGCACTTCTTCGAGCTCGCGGAGATTCTGCTCAAAGTCAAAGCGCTCAGCTTTGCACCTGAAGATGCAGTACGAAACGACAGCCGAGCCCCTTGTCGTGTTGAAGTCCTGTGACTTTTACACGTCATGTTCACGGCCTCTTTAGTGCCTACCAGTCGCGGCCCTGGTCCAAGTTTGCCTCGTAAGTACTCGTGTAGACGAAATAGTGATGAACGGCTGCCCTCGGAGACGGGTACAATCCAGCTAACAGTGCGAGGAAGGTCACCGTGTCAGCATGTCGCTGATCTCTGCTGCGATCACGCGCTGCCTCAACATGGACGAGAACTGCAGAAAAATTAACCTCATGGAACTACTTTCACATCAAGCTGCACGTGCAAGAACAGCCCGGAACAAGTGATATGGCATCGACTCAGCAACTTACATGTGCTCCTCTAACAGAACTGACCCAGCATCATCTGGCTGAGCCTGTGGTGCAGGTGTCAAGCTGCGCCCAAAACATTCAAAACTTTTTCGGCAGGGTAACCCCTTGAGGAATGATACAGCAAGGGTCAGAGCCACTGCCACTATAACTAGCCCAGCAGGGGCATAGCCTAAAGCTGAGTGCTTGGGAAGCTGCCAAAGCTCAAATTCTGGCTCTTTGGCCAACAAGCCAACAACATCAGAGCAGGCACGCGGCCCTGCCACAAAGTTCAGCACCGGCTGGAGCTTTGTCGCCGACACTGGGGAAAGAGAGCACAGCCCGGAAAGGGCAAAGTAGGAGAAATGAGCGCAGTGCCTTTCTCTCTGGCACCACTCTTGGCAATGTAGTGCAGACTGCACAACTTGAGGCTCAATCGTCTCCAGGACAGGATGATACGACGCATGCGGATGGTAGCAGTCACCTCAGAGCACAATCTCACAGCTCAGAGGTTGGCTGGGGAATGTAGATGCGGACTAGCTGGAAGACTGTGCTTGCAAATTGCTGTAGCCCTAGGACATGCTAGTGATAGTGTTGAATTACGGTCAAGACTTGCTTCAAGTCTCACGTCCACTGAAGGCCTTCGAGAAGCAAAGAGGTATTTCATTCGAGAGTGCCTGATGTTAGAATTTTCTTTGGCATTGACAGGCTAAAACTTACACCATGGTTCACAGCCCAGCCACGATGACGTTTTGCAAGCACCCGTGCAGCTGCGCTGACTTGTTCCTCTCGGCAACCCGGAGGCCCGGAGACCCAGCCGTCTGTCCCATGGGGGCGTGCAGTTGGTAGTCGGAGGTGGCCCAAGGCGTGGCATTGGCGCCCCGGCTTCCAGTACGCGAAGGCTGCACAGCTGGGAATCCTCCACTAATGAAGGCTTACGCGGCCAAAAAACAATCATCATCATCATCATTAAGATCCTGAACACCACCACCATCATCAAGTAGCACTGCTTGTGGGCGAACTAGGGAGGGTTTGGGTTGGAGCTCGCTCTGTGCAGCTTTCCTCGAGCAGCGCGCTTGGCAGGCTGAGACGTTGTCTTCGAGCGTCGGTGCCTGGCCAGCGAGCCTGGCGGTGTCTGAAGTTTGAAGCCGCCCACTGCACCCCCGACAAAGAACATGTTAGTTTAAGATTGCTTTGAGGACGAGCAGCCCGCTTCTGAACTCCAAAGCTGCGGTGTTCGTGCTACATAGCAACGTCTCCGACTCATTGTGTAGATCGGCGGGCACCGCCGGAATCTGCAGTTCGGGAACAGGGTTAGAGATTGGCTTCGCGTCACGGGTCGCTTCGCCATGATGGGATTTGGGTGGCTGTGATTCATTTTCGTCAATGAACTGAACTGCCAACCCAGCCTCTGAGAGCTCTGACAACTCCAGCTTGAGAGTGTCTGTCTCTGCGGCAGGCTGTACAGGCCTGAAGGTCTGCATCTGCCTGCCGAAGCGGAGCTGCTTTCCAACCCATGTAATCACCCCTCCATACCTTAACTCCACAGCCCACCCGGGTTTACAGTACTACAAGTACGAGCAGAATACGTCTTACCCCTCTTTTCGGCATTGAATCACAGCCTGACGACATCATCTGCGAAGCTGCGAAGCTCCAAGATCTCGGTGCCTTCCTGTAACCAGTCGGCTTGGTCATCAGACAGATTGTAGCCGAGACGGAGAAAGGTCTCCTCCAGTCTTCTCACTTCGCCACCTGCACTGGAGTTCTCTTCCGAGTGGAGCCTGCGGACGACGTTGAAGGGCGCAGCCTGGAGAATGGCTCGTTGCACTTCTGCCTCAGCGGTCGCTTCTTGGGCGGCATTCTTGGCCGCGAGCTCTTTGATCAGCTTGTTCTTGTTGCCCACTTCGCAGGTGGCCCAGGTGCCTGCACCACCGGCAGCGGTCGTGCTGAGCCCGGCGGCGATCGCGGAGACGCCCGCCAGGCAGACAGCATCTCGTTCCTTGTACGGGGAGCAATGATTTACGGCCAAGGCCAGATAGAATGTCAGCTTCGTGAAAGCGGTCAGAAGTATGGAGACATCGACAGTGCAGGCAGCCGTACTCAGCTTTTCAGTGAAACGAGTGATTCGGTTGACAGGGCATGACCTGCTCACCAAATCCAGTGCAAGCCCTATGGATGCAATCGCGCGGGAGGCGTCCACCGCATCGAAGACACACTGGGCTATTTCTGCTTGCCTCGACTTGGGTAACTCCATATCGCTCAGCCGTCGGCCGGGCTGAATGCCCTTCGGAAGAAGGTCCGCGTCGGAGACAGCTTTATCGCACACTGCCTGGGAAGAGGCAGGCAGGCAGGATTGGATAATTACAACACAGAGAAAAAAGGACTATATAAACACCAACGGCTTGCTGGTGCAGCTTCGCTTCAGAGATGATGACGCCCCCATCGATGATCAAGGACCAAGGCACAAGCAATGTCAGCACCGAAGCAGCACAGCCCTCAGCTACAGAAGCTGTCCTTGTGCAGGTCGATGCCAGGACGACGATGGAGCGAGAAATCTGTGCCAGCGATGCAAAGATGGCTGTGGTGCTTAGCAAGCACACCTTCTCCGCGATGGTAGCCTCGTCCCCCGGTTGGTGTGACATCGAGTCCTCTGCAGACTTGGGACACTGCTCCACGATGTTCTTGATCTGGAAGCTCAACCTTGCCAAGTTGCTCACCAGTCCTACAGCGCCAAAGGAGCATGTAGCCTCTTTGAACTTTTTGCGATCCTTTTTGTTGTGTGCTGCGATCCACTCGGGTGGCCGGGTAACTGTCCCCAGCACATACGGCAAGACGTCAACGTCATGTGCCGAGACTGAGTCCGGTGTAGTCAGCACACCCAGGCACCACACCGCAGCCAGAGCGAACATGGCGCGCCGCAATTCACCGAAGCCGGGCTGTACTGCCTCGGAAGCTGTAATCGAAGGCATGCAGATGGGCAGTGCTGTACCGACTCCGCCTGTTATGGGATGCAGTTCGGGCGGGTGGGGCGGACCTTCTTTACAAGGGGTTCATGAGCACCAGCAGCTAGAGCCAGTAAACCTTGGACGCCTTGCGCAATCGTTGCATGCTGGCTGCATGCATTCGGAGGACGATCTCCATGACGTGGCTGCACGCGGCTCACAAGTACTGCATCCTTCATGAGGGTGTACAATGCACGATCACTCTCTGTGACCGATCATGCACAACATGACCTCCGAAAGCTCTCGTCCTGCGGTGCGCATCGGACGCTCGCCCTAAGCCTGACGGGCAGGAAAGGCAAAGAGGCGCCTGGGGGGCCCAGGCTCGCTGCTCGCCCCGCAGCCGTCGTCCTCCCCGAGAAGAGCCTCACAAGAAAGGCCCGTCAAAAAAAAGGCAGCAGCATGCGAGAAAAGAGAACAGGAGGGACCCTGAAAATCGAGCAATTCCTATTTTTGGACACGAATCCCCATGTCGTGCAACAACACCTGCCTCATGTGGTCCCTCGCACATCTCTGGACACAAGATTTGAAGCATCTCGAAGTGTTATCCGGCACCTCCCTGTCGATGAGCCCTGTGTCGCTCGGAGTGTCTGGGCCTGCGCTCAGAACCTGGCATTCGGGGCCGAGAGTTGGTCACGAGTGTTCGAGACTTCAGCGGTTTGGGGTTGCGCTCAGCGGCAGCTCAGGAAGCATCCTCAGGCTCCACGCAGCAAAGTGCTTCAAACCACAAAGTCGGCCGCCTGTGGCCCTGTAAATGCACCGGACAGAGGCTCCCGACCTCTTCCTTTGGCGATGCCGTGGACTCCGAAGCCACGGCCTTCTGGGGCGAGCAAGCCTGTCGTAGAAGAGGCCGTGTCTACATGTGTCTATCTATCGATCTCTGGATCTATCGACCTATCGACCTATCTACATTTGTAACATTATGTGATGACACACAGGTGCATCTACACATGCAGGCGTAAATGCAGACATACATACATGCGTACACAGACATGAAAGCATGCATGATACATGCATGCCTGCACACATGCAGCATGCATGAATACTCTGCTGGGTTGCTTGCTTGCATCCTTGCTTGCTTGTATTCCTGCTTGCATGCTCGCTTGTACATGCGCTCCCTGATGCCTCGGCATCCTTTCTGGGCGAAGCCAGGAGGTCGATGTCATCCAGATCCAGCGGCGGCCTGGCAAGACAGGATCCGCAGAGGAGTTGAAACTGCGCACATCCCAAGCCCATCCTCGGGTGCCGGGAGCCGAGAGTCTTAACAGCTCTCTCCGTCTTCCGGGAAGATCGTGGCTTAGGGGTAAATCTGACCAGATGGTGAGCGACGATATCCCGTTCTGGTCAAGGCACAGGGGCAGCCGCCAGAAGTCGACTTCGGTGCGGCACGGTGCACGCTGCGGAGCCTGGAAACACACTTCAGCTCCCTCTGCAACCACCCCGAAAAGCAGCTTTGAAGATGAAGAGGTCAAAGCACACGGCCCTACGACTTTTCAATGATGTCCCTGAATCCGAATGAGAACTGCAGAGGCAACAGCAGACGACAATCTGGCATCTCGAAAAAGGAATGGCAAACAAAGATCATCAAGACTTCAGCACCTCCATCACGAGTATGCACACTCTCTTTCAACCAATGCCCGCCTCTAATGCAGCACTGGGTAGGGGCAAGTGCCAAAAAGCAAAGGCCATGGCCACTTGGAGACACTACTCAGCAAGCCTCAGCCTAGGGGAGTCACGAGCATATGTGTAACAGTTGCAGCAGTTGCGTACAAAAGGTTGCTTTCGGATGTTCGGCTGCGACAATTGTTTGTTTAATAACACTCGTGCAACCATCAGAGTGGGACTCGACCTCAACGTGGGACACAGCTCTGGCCCCTATCATGCAGTGCGATGCGAGCAGACAGGCAGTTCAGCGCGTCCGGGCATGCAAGCTGAAGAGACTGCACCTGTTGCAAAGCCCTCATCCGCACCCGGTGTGGTGTTTTGGAATCCGAAACGCCGTCTCGGAAGTGCGAGCACAAGATGGCGCCATGTTCCGCGTCTTCGGCAAACTGGTCGGTCTGAAAGATTCACTTTATCAGACACTGCGGATCAAACGGACGGGATCCTCTGCGCAGATCAAGAACACATGTCTAAGTCCTGCTGCTGTGCATGCTCAATGCCTTGGCGGAGCAGCTGTCGCACGGCGAAGGAGAAGCCCAGGACGTAAAGATCACAGCGAATTTGGCGGTTTGTGATGCTGCCCACAGTGGCAGCCGTGGTCCAACTCGATTCCGAACTGCACGGGCACAGCGAGCCGACTGCGGCCGGTGCAGAACCTCTATGTCGTCGGCAACTTGTCATGGACCTCAGCATAATATCGTGGCGGAGCAAAGCCCCCAGGAACACCGGTGCCTGGAACAAGGCCTCCACCCCCCCACATCCCATGAGGTACACTCAGGAAAAGGCATGCGGAACCTGCAAAACTACAGTGCACAGAGCTGTGATATCTTGAAGCTCCGAAGCTTCGTCTCTGGTGCCCGTTCGAAGCAAGAAAAGCCAATCCTCTCGTCCGCTTCCAACAAAGGCATCCAAGATACCTCCAGAGCTGCCGTGAAGAACTTCCGGCCCGAGGAGGTGCCCCGCTCGAGGTCCAAGCTGAACCTGCGAGAATAGTGAATTGTAGAGCGATATGGACATCAAAATATGTATCTGTCTTTGGGTTGCTACCGGTTGAAACTCAACGTGAACAGAACAGCACAAGGAGAATTCGGTATGTGCAGGGGGTTGCGTAACTATGAGACTATTCAGCAAAATTGTCGAGTGGCATGCTGGAGTCGGTGGTCCGTTGCACAGTCCAGTTCTTGATGCGACCCTGAACTCGAAGCCAAAACTGGCGCTGTAAAGACTTCCAAGGCTCTCACAAGAAACGAAAAACTAAAGAAAGTTGCTATCTTGTGAAACCTTGTAACGGCACGCACACAACTCACCACTTACCTGTCCAAAGCAAGCGCCTGCGACCGTTCAGATGTCCGACCACCGGACCACCGCCTCGAGAAAAACTGCTTCTTCTGCGAGAAAGATTGGAAAGCAGCACTTAACAGAAACCAAACTAAAGGCCCCAAAGGGCAGGCATCTTGGAGCATAAGACCCTTCTCAGGCGTCGATACTCCGCCTTGGCTAAATCTGTACATCTGTCCACTGAGCTCCAAGCCGTCATCGTACAAGTACGTGCCGAAGGTATCGTGCACCTTCTTTTTCACGGTATCGGTTCGTGAAGTGCTCAATTGGCATCATAATCGGATCAGACAGGGATTTGTCTTATGCAGTGCTTAAACGGCTTACTCGTGGCTGAGCGCGTGCTCGGGATGAGCTGCATCTGATTGGATCCCATATGCTTGTCGCGTTCCTTTTGGAGCTTTGCCCACCTCTGTGATTTCGTTGTCATACATCCGGTCAGACAACTTGCGTTTCCGCTTCCCTTCCAGTTGTAAACTCAACCTGCCCTTCCTTTTGGTCCTTCCTGTTGGCGGGAGTTGCGCTTTGCGTGAGTCTGTCGTGTTGAAAGTGCAATCTTGGGGCGTTCATTCCGGCTCTTGTCGGAACCTACCCGGCACATGGCTGTATGCACGAATGCATCGTCAGAGTCTATCTGAGTCTATATAATACCCAACAGGTATGGAGCCGAAAAGAAATGAAACGTCCACTCATAAACGACGTGAGAGGGTGCCTCTTTCCAGCGCCCCTCTGCAGCCGCGGAACCTGAAAATGGGTGTGCTGATGATGATACTCAGCTTATGTCTACTGAGTTTACTACTAGGATGCGAAAATGATTGCTGGGGGGCCCACGCAATTCCAGCTGCATGTCCTGGAGGAAATTGCTTTCAACTGAACTCACACTGA